TCCCAGGTATAAGATCAATCCGGAATTCAATGACTCGATCTGGTGGTAACCCAGACAAATCCTCTGGAAAGACTTCCGGGTATTCATTAACGATTGGAATCAATTCCTGTTTCCCTTTTTTTCTTTGTATCAATAACATATGCTAAACACCCCTGACATCCCTTCCGAATAGACTTTTGGGCTTTCAACACAGATAATAAACTAGTATGATGATCCTGACGATCACCATAAATAATAATTGTTTCTTGATCTAGCATAGTAATTATGATCATCTTTTTATTACAAACAATACTGGCATGATGCTTTGCCAACCAGTCCATACCCACCACTATATCAAACTCTTTCATCGGCATAGGGAACAGTCGAATCGGTAACTTACGCCCCTCAATAATAATAACACAATTATTGAATACTCTAGTAATAAATTCTTGACTATTAGCAGTGTCAACTACTAATTCGTTATCTAGTTGCACAAAATTCAGACATGCTGATTGAGCAAATGATAGTGATACAAATGAATAATTTGCACCAGAATCAAACAACACCTTAGCACGTATAGAATTCAAAAGAAAAGTACCTGTTACTACATCTGGGGTTGCTTCTGCCTCGTTCTTTGTCATTTGGAACGATCTACCCCTGGCTCCACTCTGGCCTCCCCTCGATGCACTAGGCCTTCCATGGTTACTGGGAGTATTTCCTCCCATTGTCAGACGAGGAGCTCTCAATTGTGGATAGTTTGGTCGAATGTGGTCAGGTGAATTGCACTAAAAACAACTTTTGGGTGTAGTGCAATCCCTTGACAAATGCCTTGTCTCCCCACAACGATAACATCTCTTTGGTTCAGAGGGACAACTTCCCTGGTGTATCTGCTGACACTGCGGGCTGGTTCTAATAGGAGGTAACTGAGGAGCACGGTTATCTGATTTAATAAATTTGGGTCTTCGAAAACTGACTGAAGACCCTTTCCACTTTCTTTTCTCAACAAATTTCTCTTCACCATGCCGATTTTTATTTCTTTCAGTAACTTCAGCGGCATTGACAGCTAGAGAAAAAGTTTCATGATTCATAGCAATCACGAACTCCCGAATAGAAGGTTTCAGACCCCAAATATACCTTTCTACCTTTCGGGATTCTGAAGATACGTAATGTTCAGCAAAACGGGAAAACTCAATAAATTTCTTGGTATAATCCCGCACAGATCTATTCCCTTGTTCCAATTTCAGAAAATCTTCTTTCATTTGCCTTACTGCAGTCTAGAACAGAATTGTGTTTTAAATTTACTCACAAATTCTTCCCAAGACATTGTTTGCAGTGTATTTGGTTATGCCGAGGACTCCACATCCCACCAATATAAGGCATTAGATTTGAGCATAGATACTGCAAATCTAACCTTATTTTCTTCAGAACACCTACTAGTGTTAAATACCGATTCAATCTTTTTTATCCAGCACTTTGCTTTAACTGGATCTCTCTCTCCTGAAAAGGTTGGAGGTTTACATGTCAGAAACATCTTTATATCTCCTCCCCGATTATTGCTGCCTGCTGAAGGAGCTGGAGGATTAATTCCAACTCGCTCAGTTTCTATTCTAGCTGGCAGTCCCATAATGGATATTAAAGTTTCCCTCAGTTTTCCTATTTCTTCTGCTAGATCATTTCTAGTTATAAACTCTGATTGTTGCCTTTGTCCTTGTTGAGCATTCCCGGAAATAGATTCCTCTTGATCAGGGCGAATCTCAGTCTGACTTCTCTCAGGAATCTGACTTCTTCCTCTACCTCTACCCCTACCCCTTCCACGTCCTCTACTCCTTAAAGCATAGGTTGGTGGATTAACGGGAGATTCCTCCCTTTCTTCAGATTCAGGGTGGGCAATTCTCTCTGATCTTCGTGATCGGCTAGACATCTGCAGATATTTTAGTATTAAATATCACGTATTCACATTCCCAAATATAATATGGTGTCCGAGTATAAGTATGTACCTGTAAATTCATAATTACATTGGTCATTTGTAATTCGAATTCACCTTACATACTGCCCTCTTTAACCCATTATATTTTATTCCTAGTTATACTAATTATGTCCGGGACTCTTAACATGCAAATGACAGTTTAAGTCTAGGCATCATGCTTTGAATACCTAAATCTCTTAAACTAAGGCTCTGATACCACTTCTGTAACACCCCCAAACACCACATTTGCATATAACACATATTTCATTACATAGAAATATAGTTTACAACACAAGGTTCCACTAGTACAAGGATTCTTATATGTACAAAATCTACATATGAATAATTCCAAAACGAATCTTGTACTAACATATGTAATACAACATATATCTTCAAAGTAAGTTACCAAAAGTTGATCTTCAAAAGCAGATAACAGGTTAGGAAAATAATCACATTTTCCCTTTCCCCTAATTATCCCTGGACCCCGTTATTCCTGCACCGCATATTTTAAAGACAGAAAATGAGGGTTAGACCAGAAGGGTCTAGTAAGTAAATCCCTTCCTTGCAAATGCAGGGTGATGAACACCAAAATATGATAAAGTAACTTTGCTTAGAAATATTTTACAATACAAACAAATGATGCAATTCACAATAACATGTGAAATAGAATATACCCAAGAACCTCAATTCTATAAAATACCTCTTCTTAAAGATCCAACGTTCCCAATATGAAACAAATATTATAACCAAAACTTTTTGAATCATTAGACCATTCCTTTGTAAATATTGATAGAAAAGATTTAAGGCAATACTTGCCTGTTATGACAAACTATTTTCCCCTTCTCAATAACATCTAAATTATTATTTCTAATAGGAATAATATCTTTAATTCATCAGGTCACAAAGAAATGATGACTCAAAGTTATTAAATCCAATAAGTAACAATAATAAGAGTTATAATATTATCCACATATGACAATGCCACCCTTATTCCAAGTACACCTCTCCTTGATATGTCACTCTTATTCCTCCATCAAAACATGGCTACTTATTATAACAGACATTAGTCACCACGTCTGAAAGTACCCATTCCCATTTCCAAGCCAGAATAGATAAAAGTCACCATGGCTGGGGGAACTACCACTTAAAACAAGTTTCATACCAAAACAAACTTATATCACCACGCTTGCTAGAAAGAGTTTTACAAAATCCACTTCCATACCAAAACAGACTTACGTCACTATGCTTGGTAGGAAGGTTTCCCAAAATATAGTTTCATACCAAAACAGACTTACGTCACCACGCTTGGTAGGAACATATCTTAACAAGATATAAAATACCCTTTTATAAATCCATAATTAAACCTAATAATAAACATTTTTAAATTATATAAATGTCTTAGAATATTAAACACTTAAAATTATCAAATATAAGTTATCCGGATATACAATCTGGACAACACTTGTCCCTTTTGTCCGATTTACTAATCTGGACAACCCTTGGTCGATTAAGACTAAATTGCATAACTCATGTCCGGTATAAGGCAATCCGGACGACACATGATCGATTTAAAACTAAACCGCTCAATACTTGATCGGTTTATAACTAATCCGCACAACCCTTAGGCGATTTAAGACTAAACCGCACAACACTTAGGCAATTTAAGACTAAACCGCACAACACTTGGTCGTATTCCTACTTCTCTGTTCAAAACCTTTGTCCGATTTACATAATTCAAAATCTCACTAACTCCCTAAATCGCATGACTCTTGAGCGATTTACAACTAAGTCGGTCACCTCTTGTCCGGTTTAAGAGTAATCCGGACAAGCTTTGTCCGATTTATACTTAGTCCGGTTACCCTTTGTCCAAATAAAGATCCTTAATTAAAATATTGATTTCTTTCCAATAATAAACAACATTCAAGTAAAACCAGTAACAAATTTTATGCAGAAAAGTTTAAAAAAATCACTCATCTTGAAGTAACAACTTCGATTTTGAAGAAGATGAAAACAACATGATTCCAAGCTTGATCTCCGGTTGATTCTTTCTCTAAGTCTCACAACTCTCAAATGAGGCAAGAAGATTGCCTCTTCACCAAAACTTCATATATATACTTTCCTCATTTGGAAAGTCGGTCTAACCCCCTCCCCAGTCACACGCATGCATATATAAATATAATTTTATGCACACACATGCACATGCATGTCTATATTATGCATACATACACACACACACAGATATATATATATATATATATATATATATATATATCCACATATTTTGCATATATTCCAAGTATGAAATATACATACTTACGTATTTTAACCCATGTAAACATGTATTCATATAAACAATTAACTCACATAATAAATACCTTGGGTAATAATCAGGACTCGGTTATCACATTTTTCCAGTCCCTCCTGGACCATCTATGAAGAACACTCCTGAACGACCATCGTCTATGTGCTTCATGATCTCATCGTATGCATATTTTTGGTCGAAATTTAGGGATTCTCGGGCACGTAAATGTTCATCTTGCACAACTATGGAGTATTCCTCTTGTACCTCACGAAAACTTCCAAATTGTAAGTTGGTATCTACATTTATCTTTGGAAGATCGAAATCATTAAGATTTTTACCCATAGATTGTAGAGAGCTTGTGATGTCAGTTAGGACCATATTCCGAACTCGGTCAACACTTTTGCATTGTCATCTATAATCTTCTGAAAGTGAAACGTAATGTTGATCCCATAACTTGCGAACATCTCCTGGCTCACAATAAATTAATATTGTTGCAAATAGCCTCCTTAGAGCTTTGGGAAACTGAAATAAAGAAGCCTCTGCAAGATATTGGGATAAGTTATCGTCTTTCTCTATTAAGCCTCTCTCAAGTGCTGCTTTCCGGAATGTCGGGTATAATATGCCATTGACTGTGAATAGATCTATAAAAGATGTAGGCCCACTAATATGAGATAAAAGTAGGCATAGGTAGTACCGCTCTCCTTCAGTAGGATTAGCATAAACCAATTGTCCTATCATTGATCCTTGTTTTCTCTAATTCCAACGACGTGCGCTCTCATTCCATGTGTAATGTTTTGGAAAGCTTTTATATACATGTTTTCTTGCACTCTTGTCTTCTTTATTTCTGTCGAAAAATGCAGTCAACATTGTTCGTTTACCACTCTCTCTAGCAACAATATATGTTATTATATCATCATCTCTGAACCTAACCATCTGCTTATTAAGGAAATGTATTTGCAAAGCCATCACATAAGGTTGAATTTGAGAAAGCGCAAAGCTAAAAATTTGCCACATTGCCTCCGGTGGGGAGACATAACGCGCATCTTGAAACCTTTTAATCTCATTAATAACATTTTGTCTTTCGTCTGGATCTATATGCATAACTTGTTTATCATGACCTTTGTAAATAGATTTGAAGAGATATTTCATAGATGTTATACTTGAGCAAGCCTCAACATTAATATGACAGTTGAACTTCATTAACAATTTTGGGTTATACGGGACAACCCATCTATTATACAGTGCATTGCCCCGTACATTCACATCTCTTCCAATATTTCTCCTCCGGTATAACTGATATGAGTTCTCAGCCTGTGATGTTTTATCGTTGAATTCTCTAGGATATCTAAAACGATAGATTTTTGGCTCACCTTGCATGCAAGGACTGGACGGTCGTAAATGACCGCAAGGACCATGCATCATGTGTTGGACAACCAACTGGTGCATTTCAGGATACTTTGTTGGGTCAGGAATTTCAGTACATACAATATTGTCGTAATGATCTGGATTGGTCATTTTGTCATCAGGTCTCATTATCATGAAAAAATGTGCATGCGACAATCCACGCTTCTAAAACTCGATGACATAAACATACGCCTTGACAGTGCCGAGGATCTTCTTCTRGAAGAGTTGGTCCTTGAGATCCTCTAATTTGGCATGAAAAATTCTTGCAACAAGGTCCGGTCGATCTTGTGCAGTCTGACTGGGCAATAGCTCTTTAAGGATTTCTGGCCATTTTGGATTACACGTCATTGTAAGGAATATATCAGGTTTTCTGTCATCTTGAACTAAAGCCATAGCATCCAAAAATCGTCGCCACTTGTCACGTGGGCCTCCTATAAAACTTGCAGGCAACACAACTCGTTGTCCAACTCTACTTGGTTGAACTTCACCAGTATTAACGCAATCCACAATGCCTTGATATAAATCCGCTCTTATCTTGGTTTGGTTAAGTTCACAGAAACGCAAACGTGAAGTCTCGATCTTGATGTAGGTATCTACCACGAATTGTTGTAGTAATCTTCCCCCCAATAGAATGACATAATCGTTTGAACGGATCTGGAACTTGTAACAATAGTATTCCCGCATAGCTATAATATTTCTACCCCTTCTTACATAGGTCTCTGTGTAATGTTTTGAAACATTTAAACTAATGATATCTATGCTTTCAAAACTAATTAGTTACTTCATATAATATATTAACATATGCGATAGAATTTGTACCTTCAGAATCATCCTCCATGATTTCGTTGTCATCAACAACTTCACCGATAGGCACTCCATGTCTTGGAATTTTAGAATGGCACCCAGACTCACCTTTTGGAAAGAACAAAGGATAAGACAATGGATCGTAACAACCGAGGTGAGATTGAATTTCTTAGCTATAGTCAGACCTCCCGTATACAACAATACTTCTCTTATATGCAGTGATGTTGTCATTGCCTTCAACCCAAATACTAGCAACCTAAAGAATGTGATTATTTAATAGAGTCTATATTATGTATCATATGTGTTTCGAAGATAAAAAAGAAAATGTTTTTATTCAAACCTCAGATGTAGTCGGTCGGTTGTATACCCTCTGGTCATGTTCCACCGATGCATTCAAAGTGACTCTATGATTGTTGAGTGGTCCTAATTCTGCAAGGGTTCGAAATGTTCTCACGTATGGATTCGTAGCAAGAACACGCGTCAAAATGTCAATGATACTTCTATCAAGATTGGGCCATTGGAGTCTATGTGAAAACTCAGACTCAGCATCATAAAAATATAACTTTAAATACCTAGGTCGTCCATCCCTTAGAACTAACTGATCAATTTTATGATATACTCCTCCATGTGCATGAAAAGTATATACACCGGATGTCATATTATTCATTRTCTCATCCAAAGTTACACCTATCGATGTGAAAGAAAAGTTCGTGTTGTATGCACGTATGTTGTGCCTAAACATTTTGCCCAATTCAGATTATGATGTGAAGAGATTGTATAATTCTTCGGAAATGGGAGAGTATKCTWACTTTGTCTTCCCACTCATGCAGCAGAAGGAAGGGAATTCAAACTTGAATCATTTTGCTCCGCAATGAGTACATGCAAGTTGTTCATTCAAAAGGCGATGTTCCTTAGGTATACGCCTGTAAATATAATCKTRTGGATCTTCCTCAAGGGTGCCATTTCGGTTTGATGAGTTGACAATGACCACAGTAGAGGTTTCTACATCTAAGACATTTGAATGTAAAAATATGGTTAACATTTAAGAACTAAACCTATGTAAAAATATACTTATCATTAACGAACTATATCTATGAATACAAGAATGTAAAAAGTAAAATTAAATAATAATTTTCAAAACTATAAATGTTCTGTTGGAAAAAAAATTGCATCATATATGAAGTTACGATAATACAAAATTGATGCTTGAATATACATATTAAAGATATGGATTTTACGTATAACATCCATCACTTCATTGTTCTCTATGGTAGTTGTCAATGTTTCAATGCTTGTATGTGGGTTATCACTTGTTGCTGTTATGTTTTTTTTTCTTATATCGTAGATAATAATTTCTATTATAAGTTCTCCTTCTTTCAACAAGGACTACTGCACTAACTGATGTTGTATCCGCTGCAGCTAAATTGGTGACAGGTGTTGCACTAACTGGTATGATGTTTGTTGCATTGAAATTGGTGACATGTGATTGACTTTTTCTCTCAGCAAGGACTATTGCTCTAACTGGTGTTGTATCCGCTGCAACTAAATTGGTGACAGATGTTGCACTAATATATCACATTATGGATATGGATACAAAGTCACATGTAAAGATAAAACTTTATTACTATTAGCTCTTCATGACTGCAGGTTCAATTTCTAAATCTTTTATTTTGCAAAGATAAAACTTTATTACAATTTGTAACACACAATCAGCAGGACAATGCAATTCAGTAAACCACTTATGAGACWMCAATAAAATAGGAGACAAGAAAGCATACCTATGTCTTAGTCGAAGCCAAGATGCAAAAGCCTCCAGAGCCTGAATGTAATTTATAAAAAGGTCACAGAACAAATATGAATAGTGAGAAAAAAAATTATATCTCATAAGGCAGCAAGAATGCAAAATAAATGTGTTTTTCCCCTTATATGCAGCAAGAAAATTCTATATCTCATAAGATAGCAAGAATGCAGAATCCACATACATAATACAACAGAGAAAAGGAAAAAGGGAATTTGATTTCAAGTTATTGTCTATAGA